GCTGGATTCCGTAAGGATCGGTCGTGCACAGACCAAATTGTGACACTACGGATCATCATCGAACAACCAATTGAGTGGAACTCGTCACTATACATCAACTTCATTGATTATGAGAAGGCATTTGAAAGTGTAGATAGGAGAACGCTATGAAAACTTCATCGACACTATGGAGTTCCTAAGAAGATTCTCAACATTATCCAGAACTCATATGACGGACTACAGTGCAAAGTAGTGCATGGAGGACAGCTGACAGATGCATTCCAAGTAAGGACCGGAGTCAGACAAGGCTGTCTACTCTCTCCCTTCCTCTTTCTTCTGGTGGTCGACTGGATTATGAAGACCTCGACATCTGAGGGAAAACACGGCATACGATGGACAGCTCAGAACCAATTAGACGATTTGGACTTCGCAGATGACCAAGCCCCCCTGTCGCATACACACGAAAAATGCAGATAAAAACAGTCAGTGTAGCAGCAGTCTCTGCATCAATAGGCCTCAGCATACACAAGAGGAAAACCAAGGTCCTCAAATACAACACGAAGAACAGCAATCCAATGACTCTTGATGGCGAAACTCTGGAAGATGTAGAATCCTTCAGATACCTGGGAAGCATCATCGATGAACAAGGAAGTTCAGATGCAGACGTAAAAGCGAGGATTGGCAAAGCGAGGGTTGCATCCCTTCAATTGAAAAACATATGGAACTCAAAACAACTTTCAGCCAATATCAAAGTGAGAATCTTCAATACGAACGTCAAGACAGTTATGGCTTTTCCAGAGTAACCAATTCATTTGCCATATGAATCCCTCAAGAGATTACTAGTCAGTCATGTGAAGTATACTAGCTCTGAATGCAGAAGAAGATCGAAGTCCCATAAAATGACGTGACAAAATTAACAGAAAGCTAAAGAGTTTATATTTGAACTAGAGAAACAGACCGTGAAGTACAATTTCGAAGACTAATCGAGAACTCGGCTTCGTGATCGGTTGATTGCCGGTATAAGCATTCCGAATTTAGAGAGGGAATGAATTCAGTAACCAAAATGTTCACTTCAAGAGTAAAAATAGCATGTTTTGAATACTAGACAGTGAATGTACTTGATTTTTAGTCAATGAAAATTTCTAATACTTTGCTTAGTCGTCGTGATGATAGTAGTTCCTATTCTCGTGGAAATATGAAAAGTGATCCAACAAAGAATTTCAGAGCAGTAAACAAAGGTGAGCATAAGTTCAGTAAATGTATGTCCTGTGGGAAATTTCACTTTTCAGGTCGAGACAACCGATGTAGCAGAATCCTCTGCATCAGCAGGTTTCAACGTACACAAGGGAAGAAACAACAGTCCCAAATACAATACGGAAAACACCAACCCAATTACACTTGATGGAGAAACCCTGGGAGATGTGGAATCTTTCACGTACCTGGGAAGCATCATCGATGAAAAGGCGGACCGAATAAGGATGTAAAGGACTAGCAAAGTAACAACCACATTCCTACGGTTGAAGAACATATGAAACTCAAAACAACTGTTAACTGATATTAAAGTCAGAATCTTTAATACGTATATCAAGACAGTCCTACTGTATGGATTTGAAACGTGGAGAACTACAACCATCACCAAAAAGATACAGACATTTATAAACAATTGTCTACGCAAGATACTCAATGTCCGTTGGCCGGAAACCCTCAGCAACAACCTACTATGGGAAAAGACAAACCAGCTTCTAGTTGAGGAGGAAATCAGGAAAAGATGATGGAAATGGATAGGACATACATTACGCAAATCATCAGGCTGCATCACGAGGCAAGCCCTAACATGGAGTCCTGAAGTGAAGAGGAAAATATGAGGGCCAAAGAACATATTACGTCGGGAAATAGAAGCAGATGTGAAAAGGATGAATAACAACTGGAAAGAGCTGGAAAGGATTGCCCAGGACGGGGTTGGATGAAGAGTGCTGGTGAGTGGCCTATGCTCCTCCACGAGGAGTAACAGGTGTAAGGAAGTAAGTAACATCACGATAGCATAATATTAATATTGAGATAAAATTCCTGACGTTTGCTAAGTTCATAACATAATTAAATTTAGAGCAATTAGTCCCTTTCATAAATTCCAATAGTGTAATAAGAAGACGAAGATTATCAGGACTATGTGATAATATATTAGCGCAATACATTTCGAACAATATGATCACACATATACTTGTTAAGAACATTTATATCTGAAAATTAAAAGGTCAACTAGACAGGTTAAGAGTAAACCATAACAAAGGATAGGTTAAGTGTAAGGACAAATTGTTTTTGAACACATAAAGGGGGTTTCAGTTTCCGTATAGCCAAGGCTTCAATAAACCTTAGCATACGTCTTTGAAGGCTTTTGTATAACACTACAAATGCTGATTTGACGTCAACCTTATGACCCGTCTCAATCAAATGTTTCGCAATGGAGGATGATGTCTGTCTATCCTGTGATTTTATTTGACCATTGGAATTCATTTGTTTCTGCAACCATTTTTGTGCATATAAATGTTCTCAACAAGTATATGTGTGATCAGATTGTTCGAAATTTCTTGCCCTAATATATCACATAATCAAGTTTCGCAAAAAATAATAAATAAAACAAAAAATGTTTCAATAATGTTAATCAAAATTGTTTACTTTCAGTATCATATATTGAATTAAAACAGTGTAGAATCTTTCTTTTCAAAAATTTGATAATAAGGTTAACAGTTACATCTGTTATTAACGTTTATACCAGAGTTACATTTTAAGAAGACTTTAACTCATTTTTACAGGGATCAAAGATGATTGATTTTAGAAATTAAAACTAATTTTCAAGAAAAACTGGTGGAGTGATTAAACAGTTTATTCGTCGTGTCAGTAAAGTCTAAGTTATTGACCTATCCTTCTTAGCTGTTCTATGGAACTTGTGTACATTCCTGTTCGTGTTGTACGTTAAGTAATTCTGCTTAATTGATCAATGTGAAAATTATGTTACTTTCCAAATTGTTAATATTTACTATATGCAGCCCAACTTGTCATTATTGAAAAAACAAGGTCTATGTTTTACCAAAAGCCCAAACAGCACGTAAGCGATTGTGTCACATCCCATTGTGTCCATCAATTTATATGTATGTGCGGAAACACGTACATAGAAAGGAGCAATTGTGATTTGCAATTAAGGGTGGATTAACACATACCAAAATGGCTGCAGAAACAAATGAATTCCAATGGTCAAATAAGATCACAGGATAGACAGACATCATCCTCCATTGAGAAACATTTGATTGAGACTACTCATAAAGTTGAAAGGTAGCACACACTTAGCAAGGCCGTGGTTCCGGTTCATAGAAGCATAGTAAATACTTACTCTTGAGAACTATACTAGAACCAAATATCTGTCCAATAATAATTGATTTTCAACGATTATCTAGTTTGAGGCAGTCTTCGATGTAAAATATAAATGGAAAATGTTAAAAACAAGTAACTTAAAAAGTTTCTATTAAACTGACAGAGGAGAAATTTGTCCCATCACTCGTTAGAGTAGTATAACTTTTACTTTAAGCAAGCAGTAGTTTCCAAATACATTCGATGGTGTGTTAAATAATTCTTGTGCAGTTTCAATAATTCGTATATCTAATCCTTGACTGACTTCAATAAGACAATAATTAGAAACTAGGAAAAACTTGATAACTTTTCCATCCTTATATACAACTCCTCAGAAGTACACATATACGACCTTACCGAGAATAGAATACACAACCCTGAAGCCTCTCAGGGGGGGGCACCTGAAAGTTTAAGTTTTTCGGTTGCTAATATTAGGAACCAGTCTCTATTTGGCCGAACATTTAAATTGATATATCAGTCATTATCGTTTTTATGAATGTCGTTTAATTAGTGATTGGTGAATAAATCAGTCTTCTCCTACAGTCCTGTTTTCTTCCTTGGGCCGATAGTTGCGTCACATTGTAATGAGTGGCAGATAGCAGTTATCAGTCAGTCATAGCAAACAAACGTACCAATAGCACTAACCATCATTTAGCTCAAGTCACAACACTGACAAATTTGTCATATTTCTAAGCATTACATTAGGTTGTCATAGTAAGTTTCCATAAAATATGAATTGTCTGGGTCATGCGATGTACTTACAACACCAGCCATAAATGTCCAGACGAAGTATTACGAAGCAAACAAGAATGAAAAGGATAAGGGGTCAAGCGAAAAGGACATGTTAAAGGTCAAGCGACGAAAATCAATATAGGAAATATAGACTGGTGCTGAAGCTTCATTGTAAAGGGGAAGTTGATATAATAAGCTATTTATCATTGAAAAAAGAAGATGAATGCGTCAAACCAACTGTTTGTAATTTCAAATATATATTCAAATAACGCTTCCTTTATTCAGGGAAAGTTTATGTTTCCTTAAGAAAACATTAATTTTATCTTTACTTTTTTTTCCCATCAATGGGTGATTTAGTGAATCTCACACTTCGATTGTTTGAGAAATTTTAGTCATTTTGTGTAACAGACTGAAACATGCCCGAATGTTTATTGGATCATCATGAAGAGCTCTAATGTATTCAGTCATATTTGATAACTTTATGGACTTATTGGGACGGATACATTAATATTAGCAACGAACTCAATACGCAAGATGAATTTAAGATATTTCTTTGATTCACTGTACAAGTCACCTGCTTCGGTTTGGGCACCCGGGCAGTATCACAGCCCTCACACATATCGAATGAGATTTGTGTGGCGCATATGTATTTGGTGCCTCTTTGTACCAATATCTGTGTTGAAATAAATAATAAATAAATAAATTTTAATAGGTCGCTTTATGAAACCGTAATACGTTATGCTTTAATTACTCATTAGGTAAAATATAAGTTGACTGGGTTTATCACCGGCGAAACACTTAGATCAATAATATTTACATACCTCGTGAGAACATTTACATTTCAGACTGTGAAATAAAATTAACAGCAGTGAGAATAACCAGTTATTCTGACCCTTAAATGTATTGTGAAACAGCATCCAAAAAAGTAATGATATTAAGCGCAATTTAGGAAAAAATACTGTTAGACACTGTAGAGGTGAAAATATGCAATAATAAGTTTACTGTATAAATAGTTAATCGTATATTTTAATCTGTTCACTTTCAATCTATTGACGACGAAGAATGTATGTTACCAAACTCAACGGAATACGAATAAAACCAGGGATAAGATAACCAAGTAAAGAACACTGAGTTTTCACAGCTAATTGTAATGAACGTAAATTAATTGGTTTTCTACCATCTATTTCTTTAATACTATATTCGTCAGCTATATCACAAGTTAGAATGACTTGACCATTTCTTGAAAGTAGCTTATCACGTTGTTCGTTTGCTATCGCAATAATTACTTTACCAGATAACTGAGGTGATTCCGCTGTCAGTGTTAGAAAAAGGGAGAAAAACAATATTTAATGGACGTTTGAAGAAAGATATAGAAATGAGAACGTAATCGAATAAGGTTTAATAATTGACAAGTTATTTCAACTATTATTCTATAAATTACGATTGTTGGAAATTCGAACAGTATATACGGCGTTTGTAATAATATATCTTTTGCAGCAGACGATTTAAGCCGTGAAGGTTCGTCATTAAGTGGGAAAGATTTGGTATGACACGCAAGAGAAAGTAAAACTACATGTCATAGGGAAAGCCGTCTAAATATAAAATTATTCTTGATCGGTGTGCTATTTGGAAAGAACTAAATATCCAATGAGTTTACTAGAAACGGAATATAAATAAGATTCACTGGTCACGGTTTCTCACTAGAACTCCGAGATTCCATGTATTCAATGGTGGTCTAATATTGATCAGTTCATAAACTCAATAATCTCCACAACCCTATACTAATAAATAAGATTATCGATTTCAATTCATATTTATAAACTGACAAGAAATTTTGTAGGTAGAAAGAGGTAAAAGGAGGAAATAAACCGATGCTTTTTCTAGGATTCTGATTAGCAGTTTGGCAACGGGTGAATTTTACGTAGTGTCGATCATGAAAAACACAGTATTACAGTATATAAACTCAGAGTCTCTAGCTCAGCCGAATCCATAACAATTGTACAATGATATCCCATAAGAATAGAATCATACGAGTTAATACAATGTAGTCGATAGGGTTTAACGAATCGGGACATTTGTTAGTACACAACCGAGTTTTTTCCAAATTATGTTTTGTCATGTGCAAATTAAGCGAAGCCTCATCTGTAGTTTGAAAACTACCACGAAAAATGTAAAAACGATCCATCATGTACGTGTTTAAGCAAGACAAGTTCGTTTCCCGTAAAAGTATGATTTTTTTTCGAAATGGTAGGTATACCAGGAAAACGGGTTCGATTGGTCACAACTTCGTACTCAAAGACGTTCTGGACATAATCTTCGACCTTAACATTTAGATATTTTCAATAATTTATTGTTCGAACTAAAGGTGCTCTTTGACACTAATATTTACAAAAGTTGCAATAATATGGATTCGAAAGATATAGTAGTTTAAATGAATGTATATACAGAATGGTTACAACCGGTACCACAAGATATTTCAAACAAATGCTGCCCAAATCAATGTACATGAATTTGTGCTCGAATCTGGGATTTATTAGTAGAAGATGGAGTGCTTTAACCACTAAACCACTGTCGAAGATTACACAGAATCTGGTCAAGTGCGTTGGCCATTCCATAAAGCAATAGTCATACATGGACTTGAACAGAACTCCCAAAACTTTTTCAGTTTAGTGTTTCTTTCTATTTATAACATAGACATAGTGGTATGAGGAAGATGATTAAACATAATTCTGACAAGATTTTAATAAATCTTATCTGGTTTCCATGTCCTTGCATCCAGAACCAAAACAGGGCTAGTGGACCAGATTATAAATTGTTTAGCTACTGCAGGATCGATAGGAACTTTACTAACAGATCTTTTTGACAACTGAGTAATTTGATTTCTAAATTTGATTACTGACCATTCTGAAATAACCTAATTACCGAGTTATACATTAATATATAAATATTACCTTACATTATCAACAGTTTTAAGGTATAAACAGTGAGTTTGTAATGAGGTATGATACATCAAAGTTTTATTTTAGCTTAGGTAATGTAGATAAAAGAAAACGTCATGTGTTTGCAACCATTTCCATTTAATATTAAACGTGACCTGTTAGAATTCAAAGCTAGATCAAATGTAAAATTTTAAGATTAAACAGTCTTTCATAGCTAATGGATCAAACTGGATAAAATGTTACAAATTACTGGTTTCTATTATGAGAAAGCAACAAGCAGTTTCTACAATCAGTATTAAACATCGTTAAATGACCAAAACGCTTATAATCACTGCAGTACTGAAAAGTAAGTCGTTGGAATGGTTTCTGAAAATTTGATCATTTTGAAAGTAAACGTCATCATCAACTGTTACCACTTGAAGTTGTTTGGAAATAACTTAATAACAGTCAACAATGAAAGAACTAAAATTTCTAAGAAAACGAGAAAGATATAAATGAGGCTTCTAGTTGCTGACAATCCATATGTCAAAACAAATCTCGATAAATCACAAACAGCAGCCAATATTATTGACGGTATCTGATAAGATCTAACACAGTTGTCTCCACAGATCCCAACTACATTATTTTCTACGCAAACACTCAATGAGTAGATATTCTTTATTCAGTGAGACGAATGGCTTTGTTACTGCATAAAAACACTGGATTTCACACATACCATTGAGTGGATTATCAGACCAGCCTATAATTAAGACCGAAACACTATATAATAGTTCAACACGTTAATTTAATTTACAAAACTACAGCTTTGAAAGATTGTAACATTGGTGATAACTGCTCTGAAATTGTTAGTTACGCTGAAGAACAGTAGATAGACAAATCCATCATTGAATTAGTGTATACATACAGGAAATAAACAATTACAAGATTAATTAGTCTCCTATCAACATACCGGTATCATAATGAAAAGCTATCTTTTCGCCAAGTTTCAGGGTTCCATCAGTAGCTTCTGCAACTACAGTTTCCGTACGGACTGGACCTGGCCATAAACTGAAGATGCATATATTAGTATTAGTCCGCTTTAAATCGTAAGCCATGTCACACGTCATACGGTCCAATGCAGCTTTACCTATCATATTAAAAGTAAAATAAGAATATAATATAAACTTCCATTGACCATGAGATTAAGAGAATATATTTGAGCTCTTCTCCAAACAAGTAGAAAGGCTGTCTCAGATATGGTATGATACATGGTGCTAATTATTTGGATAAGTGTCTAGTTACGTTTATCGTCTACCATTAATAAACTATGGTTTGGAATTACCATCAAATCGTACAGACCATTATTTATAGAGTTTTGATTTACAGTGTGACACATCTTTCTTCTTATGAATTATTTCTTAAGACCTATTTATATCCAGATTAAAACGAGAACTTCAATGATTTACCAAAACAAATATACTCAGTGCCTATTGATCATGCGGAAAACACTGTTTTATAAACCAGTAAGTAAACAACTTATTGGTGGCATTGAGAAAGAGGAAAACAGTGGTGAGTTTCGATTAACTTGTATAGTTACACTGATACTATTCTAGGCAAAATAATAAATTTTCTTATCGAAATAAATATTCTATTTATCTGGAGCATATTTGAAAAAACTTAGCATGGTGGTTAGATCACTAGCCTAATTTGCGAAGTTGTAACTGATGGCCTGGGTAATGTGAGTTTCATCCTCTTTTGTTAACTATTAAACATAGAGTTAGTTCCGAGCCACATTTTATTATAAATTGCTTGCTCGTATCTAAATGAATGTTTTATTCCTCAAATGAAATTTATCATCCGAAAATAGTCAGCATGTTAGTTGTAAGTTGAGTAATTTTCATTCATTACAATTATAAAAACATGAATATAATTCAAATGTACAGGAAAACAAACTAAATCATTCACTTTTAGTTGCATAAATTTAGAAATTAAATTCGTGGAGAGGTCTTTTATCAAATAGATCATTTCCACATGTTGTTCTTAGTCATTAATGCACTGGTAATTAGAAGCATCTTTCAGCAGAGCAACGAATGAATCCCTTATTATTATTTATGAATAGATCAGACAGTTAATTGTTAAATAAATAAACCGAACAGAAACGAGAACTAGAAGTTCTGGATACAGTGTTTTTGGAGTACAAAGGGATAATTATTAAGCTGATGTTAGATCATATAAAATTACAACAAATGATAGTACTATTTTAGAATCGAATTACGTTTGAGCACAGTTTACAACCCCAAATACTATTTTCTATAAGGGAAATTAATTAGTGTGAACTATTGCTCGGCGAAGTACTAAATTCTTATATTAAAAGGATTCGATAGATTTTACTTGTGGTATCATTGAGAGTAATGAACACTAGGACACCTGTTCAGACAGTGGTATGAATTTTGGTTATCCCTCTACACGCGAGAATAAGGAAATACAATCCAAGATGAGTGTTCAGCGAAAGCCTATGTACTAGATACACCTTACAGATCAATTAATCGAGGCCATTAGTTGTAAACCTAATTTTTAATATTCACTTTGTTACACATAAAAAAAGTTTACAAACATTTCTAATTCCGATTGATTGTTAAATTGAAATTATTTAAAAACCGAGTAAATCGTTTGCCTTACCTGCTCCATAAATTGCATTGAAAAAGTAAATCCTTGCACCAATTGACGAAACATTTACTATTAGTCCCGGCCTGAGATGATCATCTTTAACACCATCCTTTTTCAACTTCTCCTGATAATTTATCATCAGTTTTGTCGCAAAAACGGAGCAAATATAATTATTCCTTAAACCAACATTGTTTACTATATCCCACGCTTCACCTGGCGATTTACTCTCAATCTCGTAATAAGGCTTGTCTACATTGTTCAACAGAAAACCAACAGCACTGAAAGCATTATTGACTAGAATATCAAGACGTCCATGTTGTTCACGTTCAATCCGATCAAATAATTTGGAGATTTGATCATCGTCTGTATGATCAACAGCCACTGGTATGCACTTCTACAAATACGTAAACGACCTGTATATTCAGTATGAAATTGAAATTTTCAGGCAATAGTAATACCTAGATTTAGATATACTTAAACCAAACATTTTTGATCACCTAACAGTTTAATTTAAAAGTTCATCGGCAAAAGTGATCAGACAATTGTGATGTCAACGTAATTATAATTCAATATTTACGCAAAAAAACGGTTGTATTAGACAGAAATGCTTAAATCACTATTACACTTGAATGGTTTTATTTGTAGGTGTCGTGATCTTGGAGACAGTGAGGACTTGATATGTTCTAAAAAACGCATATTTCGTTAGTTCAAACAGCAAAGGAAATAAAACAAATAATAATAATAATAGATTGTTATTGCTCAGTAATTTTTTATTGCAGGAAACAACTTCAGATAGTACCTATCTCATGATGAGCATCATCGTCCTCAAATTTCTAGATTTATACTTAGTGTTAGCCTTACTCTTCCAATATGTTCATATTTCATTCGCCACTAAATTTCACAAATGCTTTGCTTTTAGGTTACGTATCAAACGTTTTTAAAAAGTACTTCATAAACAACATGCAAACGTATTGTATACGTAATCAAGTGAAAACACCAAATTACGTGTCCAAAAATTTCATTTAAATTGAGAACTTACGCCTCCACAATTAGAATTATTTATAGTTTCTGCTGTTTCCTCTAAAGAACCCTCAACATTTTTCCTATCAGATTTCAATGTACGTCCAGTAATGTATACAATGGCTCCTGCTTGACCCAACTCCACCGCGATACCTTTCCCAATGCCCCGCGTGGCTCCCGTTACTAAGCAAACACAACCATGAAGTTTTCCACTCATATTTGCACAAATTAATCACATAACCAAGGTATAAAAGTATATAATAATATTCCTTTGTCAGTCGAAATTTGATTGGTTAGTTCGTATTGACCGGAATGATTGATTGGTTGAATTTTATAACGTTTGATTGGAAACATAATGTGGTTTGCAGTTTAAAGTGAATAATTCCCCAAACCCAAATGGTTAAACTTGGTCAAATTTTCCAAACATTATCTTTTATCACCTGGTGCAAAAATCTTTCAGATGTCATAATAATTTCAATAGAAGTTTCATTAACAATTTTACATTGTGCACATTAAACAACAATATTGTAATAAACCGATCACGATGATGAGATATATAATACTTGTGGGGCTTTTGAATTAAAGAACGATTCAGTAGACTGTTACCTGAAATAAATAAGTTAGATACTAGGTAGAGTTGTCTGGAAGATACAACGAAATTAAATTAACAGGATTAAAGATTTTTATGATTATTTCACTATCTTCATGTAAAAATCCGATACAATAAGAACACAGATATTTTACGAGGGAATCTATATAAACTTTCCCCTACACTGAATAACAAGTTGATTTATTGACGATTCTTTCATTTCAGTAATAAATGCACATAACATGAATCTAGGAAACTAGACGATTTTTGATTTGAGGGATCACGTATTATACACCATATTACAGTTTTCCATAGACTTGATAAGTTGAAAACAGTAGAGTTTGGTAATTAAAATGATATGTAGAAAAAATTGTTTAACTAGTAAAACTTCCCTACACGTTTAAATTCACGACTAATGAGACTGGAAATGAAATTGCTGTCTGGGTATTTCGGAGTGGTTTCTGAGTGAGAATTCTGAATGAATGAAAATGGAATCGCCTAGTGAAGTATGGGATATAATATACAAATTTACAACTTATCACTGCTCCCCAGTCCTAAATCTCTATCATGTACTTTTCTGAAAAATTAACATGTTAATTTTACAAGACTAGGGCGGTTTGTTGCCCTTAATGTAGATGGAATGCTATCGACCAAGTTGCAATGAGGTGTTTTGGGAAAGGTTTTATAATTTTTTCCTCATAGTCTGATACTCCTCAACATTGACCAAAATAATCTTCGAACTTTTTTTAAAATCAATACCATTCCAGTAGCTGAATCGTCTGATGAGGCATTTATGGCTGAATGTCAAAGTTTATTGAGTAAAAGCAATAAGTAGCTAATGGTTCTTCAGAAATACCAATTGTCGTTCTATCATTATCACCTGAACCAAAACCTTTTTCGCCGTCACAATTTTATGCATATGTAATAAAAATACAAAACCTCAAATAACAGTCAAATTGATTCACTGTAAGATGGGGGATATGAATGTTCTAACGAACTTTCTCCCGAAATCCATCACTGTCCAAAACAGCGAAATCAGCGGACTTTATTATTCTATTCACCACGGATACAAATTGCGAGGTAAAATCCAATTTCTTAAACAATATTTTACGTGATACGTAACGTAGTTGGAATAACACAAATGCTACTTTTCTTTAAATTTTCACTGATGAAATAAAGGTACATATACAGAATCCAATCATAACGTTATTTCTGACTGGAATTTTTTTACCGTGATCACTTTTAGTACGTGCATTTATTGGGAGTGAGGAAATAGTAATATGTAGTTGATCTCAACATCCTATTGAAAACGTTAGTGAACGCGGTTCCACACCACGGGCTGTTACGTAACTACTCAAAACCAGAAAGCCCTCTTGAGGAGTCCCATACGAGGACCAGTGCTTACTGATTACCAGTGGTTGTCTAGCTGAAGTCAATCCTTGGTGTAAAATTACACATCCAGCAATCCCCTATACTGAAATGCTACGATTGTTGAATAAATAAGTCCAAACCATAGGATGGAGACCTCCAAGAGATAATGTAGTCTCTCGTCCATTAATTGGTGAGTTGTCCTTATCATATTGTTATAACACAAGGACTTTGAAACACACTTTCATTTTTAATAACTTATAATACCATGAAAAGATTGAAAATGAACCAGGTAGGATGATGTTACACAGGCGATTGAATGAAAGTTGGTTTAGCCAGTGTACCCTACTTCTCAATCCTCTTGCTAATTAAATTCATGGGTTTATCGAAGCAAGCGCTTATTTCTGTGCCGTATATCAATATGCACAGCCGCCTATCACAAGAAGGCAAGTTTTAGATTCATGACTAGGTTGGGTTTCTAATGGTAAGTGGATTGTTACTGTACTTTATATTATGTTTACTATAGTGTTTCACTAGCCTTAACTGAGGTCATCGTTGTCTCTATCTACGGTGGCAGACTTACCGATCAGCTCTCCAGTTAGCTTCTGTATTAAGATTAAATTACTCTCCATAACTATCTAACGCCACTGTGTTTCATATAACGTTTTCATTACGGGCGATGGCTTTTTGATTCAAGAACTTCTAGGCAAATTTTGCTAAATTAGCTTCCGCTCTTCAGATGGCCTAGCATTTCGCCCTACAACTACCTTCGGTAGTATTATAATAATCATGAAGTTCCGCATAAGCCGGCAAAAGTCACCAAACCTTCGGAGTTACTACTTTTATAATAATGCAAAACAGCTTATTCGGGACCTTGTTATTTCAGTCTGTAGACTCAACCACCAAGTTGTCCTGATTTCATACCTATGTCTTGACCGAATATTGCCAGCGGTTTTCATTGTCGAATGGTTACGGAGTAGTCAGCTAAAGTCGTCTACCATTATTTAATAGCCAACATTTTAGGGAAATTTTCCTTCGTTTCTGGTATTATTTATGAACTGAGTAATTTCCTACACTTCATTCAGCAGAAGTAACTAAACACTTCCCAATAACTCTCGTTTGATAAAAAGCGATCATTATACAAATTTTTGACATATTCTAGGATGATACTATTGTGTATGGTGATATTAACTTGGGTTCATCGACCTAGCCAGTTAATCAGTTACAATTTGTTGTGCTAGAAATAAAATGAATCCCATTATTTTTCCAGATCAAGAAATTTTTCCCATTTTTAAAGTACTCCATCGTTTTTTGACCTTTATTATGTGCGTTATCGCATCTTATTCACTTCCCACTTACGATCAATATCGAAATACAATATAGGCAAGTAATCATAAACAGCATTGTAAAATACTTAGTAACGCAAAACGCTGTTCGGTGTTAGATAAACTTCCTCAATTTACAGACTAACCTGAATTCTGAGTGAAGCCATTAGAAATGTTTGGGTAAAAGTTTATCAGTCTGATAAAAAATGAGTACTAGATTAACTATAGAGAATCAGATATAGTACTCGTAGCAGGTGACATTAATGCTTAAACAAAACAGAAGGACAGGTGGGTATTTTAGTATTCTGGCTCAGCGAACAGATAATGGTGACCGTCTGCTGCAACTACGCTCAAACAATCGTTTATTTTAGCAAGCACCAATTTTAAGCATAAGGAGAGACATCGTCTAACATAGTGACTCCCTGCACCAAACCAACGATGGACTCAAATAGACCATATTGCCATCAGTCATCGTTGGGAAGGCTCGATAGAAGACTTTCGCTCGTTCTGGAATAGGAGTTTGGACCCCGACCATGCCCTAATACGAGCATACATTTGATTTCGCCCCATTGGACACATAAAAACAACACTAAGAAGACCCATTAGAGTTGAACTCAGTGACGAGAAAGCCAAAAGTAGATTTCAGGAACAACTGAGGTCACACTTAGGCAGTTCTGAAAACGAGGCCGGCCCAGATGTTGCTTGGAAAGACACACGAACAGCTGTGACATCTATTAGTGATTTAAATCAGAGTTACGAAAAACAAATGGATTCCTACTAAGTCTGTTGCACTGATGGATTCTAGTAAACCCATCCCATCATACCCTGAACATTATGAAGAACGAAAACAAATCAGATCTAGGTTAACCAAAATTCTAAGGAACGACTGTGAGCAGTGGTGGGCAACGAAAGCAAAAGAGACGGAAAAAGCAGCGGATGTAGGTAACACAAGACAGCCCTTCATACTAATAAACTGGAATTAAGAAATCAAGTAATGGTGTAGTGAGACGCAGGATATTGGAGAATGATGGTAAATCAGTTGATGAGGTTGTGAATCTTCATCGACTAAGATGGTTGGGCCACGTGCTACGTATGCCTGAACACCGATTACCACGATGTGCAATGCTAACCGGTGTTGGAGATAGTTGGAAGAAAGCTAGGGACGGCCAAACCAAAACGTGGCATAAGTTCTTGAAGTCACTAACTTCTAATCTGAGCCATGTTGGTAGATGCAGACAACTTGGTTGAGGTCCGCGCGACTATCGTAACCAATAGTTTGAGACTCTGGGTGACATGGCTCAGGATCGATCAGAATGGTGTAGGTGTATACACGCTTTGTCTTCTCTTAAACTGTGAGATTAGAATTGCTTTATATATTTCTTTCTACTAACTAATTTTTTGTTCCTGTACTGTCCTTATACACAATCTTTCTTTTGTATATTACTACCATTGAAGTGACTAGTTCTATGAATTCGGTGCTCATCATGTTGTACTAATTAGGTGTGTCGACTTGGACCTTTGCATAAACGTGCCTGGCCCTACATCGTAGCTGACTGACTATCTATAGAGAAGCAAATACAATAGTAGAGATAAGAAAAAACAACTTTAGGGAAATATTTATGATATAAAGCAGTTGGTGACAAGTCTTGGATTTGAAACCATATCACATTTCTCTTTAAGTGTTAATGTGTGTCTGTCACCCTGTTGAGTACGCGACTTTCGGGTTGTCAAAACGTCAACTTCAAAAAGCTCTCACTAAATCCAGAGGTTCATATTAACCACTTACAAATTAGATACTGGGTGATATGGTCAACAGAATATCAGTAACAATAAGAATGTAACTGTGACACATGAAATCTTCGGATTGAGAAATTCATGTGCGACTTGTCTGACTAACGAACAGAATACGTTTACCTCAGGTTACTGTCAAAGAGGTATTCATCAACGTAGTTGGTGAGTGAAAAACTCATGTAATTTTTCACAGAATCTGCTAACCGATAACTCAAATCAAAATGAGGTCAGAAAAAAGCAGTTGATTAGCATATTATGACCCCAAAGATCATTAACCTGGTTCACGAGCAACGTCGGGCACTGTGATTGGAATTTGGGAACATCAGTCAAATCAAGACTTAACATTCGAAACTGACTACCAATATTAAAGCATGAGTTCATAGTTAAAGAATTATGGTAGTGTTATATTAACGTCTGTACAGACGTTAAAAATACTCTAATATATTACATGTGAATTAAGTAAATAGTTATAACGATTCTGAAAACTTTGATTAAAGAAAGGTTCAGAACAGTTATTTTCACGGCATATTCAATTCCAATTCGATACAGTTGAATAACGACGTTAAATTTTTCCCTGTAGGATAATAATAGGGAATCACATACTCTTTAGATCTGTGGTTGATATCTATGGATTTATTGACGTCAGCATTGGTCAGTCATTTGCAATGTAAAATTTCATACACACCTGCGTCGATAAGTTTCAATACCAACTTAGAACAGCGGGATAAAACCATTTCAAGACATATTCCTGAGTCGAAGCACTAGCGCCAGCCAAAAAAAATCAATAAAATTTACACGATTCCATCGTAAATTACCAGCAATTATCACCCTAGAATGAAACCCTTCACCAGTATGCATCCATAACCCCGGATTCGGGAATTCAACCCAGAACCTTCGGTTCCGCGCGTGAATGCTTAACTTCTAGACCACTAAGCCTGGATCCAGCGGTGTTGATTTCTAACTTTAAGTAATATCGTGTACTGAGAAGTCCCATACCAGGACGAAGCAGTCGTTCAGTGTTTCCAAGCTCTCAGTGGTGATCTAGATATGATCGGTTCGTGATTTAAACTGTGAAAATTCTACAATCCCTCTTATTAATAATTATCGTCCTGTTACTTAAAGCTTTACTGTTTTCCTATTTTTAAAAAACAATTATTGTAAAATTCGTAAACAAACTAATCAGGAATAGTCCAGATAGTACCAGTATTACGAGTGAGAGAGATGACCTAGACAAATGTCAGTGGGTTCTTAATAAATAAAAACTTGTTTCAGATGAATGAAGGTACTTTATAGTGTAAACCCAACAAAGTAATTATGTAAAAGACGTGAAATTATAACAAAAAATTATTATTTAGAAGAATCAGGTACAAAGTATCTTGAATATTATCAAACAAAGATTATTCCGAAAAGTAACTTGTTCAAAAAAGTACGTATCAATGAATGTTTCTTTATCAGACCATCTAAAAGAAAGCCGGAAATCTATATAAAAACTTCTCATCTATATTTTAACATTATATAGAACAACCATTCTGGTATTCGAATAAAACTGGGTATAAACTTAGCAATATAGTAGCCTTTATATGAAAGAAGATATTTCAAAGACCTCACGTTTACGATTTCTCGACCACAATCTTCGTGTATACCGTATTCCTCAGCTAAATCACTAACAAGGAATATATGACCTGACCGAGAAAGTAGTTTCTTAGGTGATTCAGCAGCCATACCTACTACTACGCGACCAACTAACTCGGGAGATTGACCTGAAAAATAATTAAAGCCGGGAAGAAAATGCAGTTATGTAGATACCAGCTTCAAGGTTTGACATGATTATTCTTAACAAATTAAATGGTAATTACATTGAGATTTCAAAAATACGTCATATAAAACTATACTTTATCAGATGAGTCGAAAATATTTTATTCTAAAATGTGAATACTTTATCAGGCGATAATGTGAACCAAAATGTCTATAAAGCATTAAACTTGTTAGTTCGAAGGTTCAAGAACCTATGTTATTTGTTCGATCAAGACTACTGTTGACTATGTCATTCCGTTAGTTGTAAGTGTAATCGCAGTCAGCACTGGTGACCGAGCAACAAGAAGAAGCTGAATTCCATACAAACTCAAGTAGATGGCTGAAAGTTAATCGGTGATTGACTAACATTTTTTAACCATTAGTTTCTCCAATATCTCAGATAAGTATTGATGATGGAACTTGACAAACAGAGTCGCAAAACCGTTTTCTGACCGAATACCTGTTAACATTTCAAGTCAAAGACAATGCTCTACAATGCTAGGCTAATTGAATGCATTTCAGTGTACTGTTTGTGCAAAAATGTTGACATGATATACAGGGAATGAGTAAAATCAGATTTTTTTTAAAAAGTGTATCAATTGGGAAGGCTTAAGTGGCAATGCACACCAATAGAATAGCACATGTCCATTAGTATTAGTCAGTTTCTTTATTTTATTTATTTATTTGAACACAAATATTGGTACAAAGAGGCACTTAATACATATACGCCACACAAGTCACTTGATTTGTGTGTAAGCTAGGATACTGCCCAGGTGCCCAGACCAAAGCAGGTGATTTTCTTAGAGGGGCCACACCCGGAGCCTTCGAACTAAAGGTCTGACCCACAAGGCAGTGGAGCAACGTCAGGAGATGCAGTTCCATGGTAGCCGGTGACCAACAAATTCATATACACAGTAAGTAATAAAAAGATAACCGAGTTTCAAATGTTCATTGCCTATGTTAGCTTCTGTTCTGGTCTGAATAAAGGTTGATTTACTAGAAATATCTAATATCAAAACAAAAAAACTATTACTTGATTAATAAATCTACAGAAAACACTTCAAACTTTTCAAAAATAGGCATATGGATTTAAGAACATTTGAACAGCTAAAACCACGTAGTCTGAGGCAAAATGAAATCAAAGATATACGTTATACCAAACACTACGTTGGTGGTCAGGAAGTATTTACTGGATATAAAAGTAAAGTCAAACCAATATTAAAACATAATACACCAACGTACTGTTTTCTATATTCATTGTGAGAGAACCTTTAGAAGCAGCGTCAAGAATATGCTCTGTACGAACTAATCCAGGAGAAATTCCGACAATCGAAATGTTAACATTTTCCCTTCTTAATTCGAGCGCCATATCATGAGTTATGCGATCTAGTGCTGCTTTACCTGAAATTGTTTTGATAAAAACTCAAAGACTTTCAAGGGAAAATGTTGGACAAAAGTCAGTAGTAAAATATACAAACAGCCAAATTGTTTAACTACTTCGGCTAAGCAGAACTTCAAAGAACTATTCTGAAGGAGTTTCATACCAACATAACTATTCTTAGTGATTTTAGATGAATTGCAGCTTATTAACAGTTCTATTGCGCTTCAATGATCCTTTTGTTCATAATCCAACTTGGAAGTTAATTTTTATATTACGCTTCTTTATATCGAAACCTATCAATTCCGAAGATTTGCTTCCTACGATGAATTTTGATTCTTTATTATATATGGAAGTGTTCATAACATGTTTGAACAATAGTACTATTTACTTATTACAGTCAAGTTTGACTAAACACAACGGAGATTTAATCCATCGCGTGATGCATATTTAGTCTATCAATCAGTCACAAGCACAGACTTGACCCAAGTCGTCATATCATTACAGTAAGGTGCGAAATTAATAAGATGAACAATAACGGAACTGAAATAATGTAGTATCAATGATAATAGGAAAAGCTAATGATGGTTTTTAATACAACTCAGTTTCCAACGCACATCAAAATCATATACATACAAAAAATTCTGTATGATTCGTGAATAAAACATCCCAGAAACATTGTGACTGTTACAAACCTCATAGATTATGAGGTTTGACGGTACAAGCCTGTTTTATAAACAGAAATAGATCAGTAAAGCGAAGATATTTATTTTCAATTAGTTCTTCATCATACCTGTATGCTAATATATATTTATAACATTAAAATAATACTATTCGGGTAGTAGTGTAACAATAATTATATAATTTCAGGGTGATTGTAATATAATACCAAATGATTGTGTAAGTGGAAGGAGGATTACAATTATTAAAGCAATTGTTTGTAAAAACTGAAAGAATTTAACTAGACAGTTGCTAGATCATGTAATATTCCACAATGGAATTAACAACTTATTTCGACAAAGTCAACTTCATAGTGTTTGTGTAATAATCAAGAATATGCAAAAATAAAAAAGTGACATATCAGAAAATCGATTGAATAGTTTTCGAAAGAATGGAAGTTAATCGAAATTCAGCAAAAACTCATTCTTATATTGATGCCCAAAGTAGAAAGAACGATTGTACAAATTTAATTCCGGCTTATGAACATGGAACTCCTCCTGAAACCCCTCTGGGGCTACTGCCGGTCCCAAGCAAGGGTAAAAGAAGGGGTTGGGCATGGGGTTAACGACCCCATCCCGTAGAAAACTAGCTCGGTAAAAAAACGCTAACTAGAAAAAATTATTCAGACCATTTAAAATCTGCCCTGGGAGTCAGAAGGTCCTCATTTAGAAAAGTTATGAGGCCTCATGGTGAAAGCCGAGTTCCTTCGGAAGTCACGAGGTTGATGCCCCTTCTGACGATCAGAGCAAAGCAGTAGGACCAGACAACACTCCAGCAGAGGCACTGCAAGCAGATGTAGCAGTAACTGCAAAGGTACTGAACGTTCTCTTCAGCGAAATTTGGGATGAAGAACAAGTACCAACAGACCGGAAAGAAGGACACCTGATCAAGATACCAAAGAAAGGCGATTTCAGAAACTTCGATAACTACAGGGGCATCACTCCTCTCTCAATACCTGGAAAAGTCTTTAACAGGGTATTGTTAAACAGAATGAAGGACTCCGTAGACGCCCAACTTCGAGACCAACAGGCTGGACTCCATAAGGATCGGTCGTGCACAGACCAAATCACAACACTACGGATCATTGTGGAACAACCAACTGAATGGAATTCATCACTCTATATCTACTTCATTGACTATGAGAAAGCATTTGATAACATGGACAGGACAACACTATGGAAGCTTCCTCGACACTACGACGCGCCTGAGAAGATAGTCAATATCATACGGAATTCCTATGATGGATTAAACTGCAAAATCGTGCATGGAGAACAATTGACAAAGTCGTTCGAAGTAAAGACCGGTGTCAGGCAAGGTTGCTTACTCTCACCTTTCCTGTTTCTCCTGGTGATCGACTAGATCATGAAGATGTCAACATCTGAGGGGAAGCGTGGGATACAGTGAACAGCTGGATGATCTAGACTGTGCAAATGATGTGGTTTTTCCATCGCACATACAACAACAAACGCAGGAGAAGACGACCAGTGTAGCAGCAGTAGGTCTCAACATAAACAAAAGGAAAAGCACGATTCTTCGATACAACACAGCATGCAACAATTAAATCACACTTGACGGAGATTTGGAAGATGTAAAAACATTTACATATCTGAGCAGCATCATTGAATAACACGGTGGATCTAACGCAGATATGAAGGCGCGGATCGGCAAAGCAAGAGCAGTATATTTATAATTGAACATCTGGAACTCAAAATAATTTTCAACCAACACCATGGTCAGAAATTTCAATACAAATGTCAACACAGTTCTATTGTATGGAGAACTACGGAAGCCACCATTCAGAAGATACAAGTATTTATTAACAGCTATCTACGCAAAATACTTCGGATCCGTTGGCCAGACACTATCAGCAACAACCTATTGTGGGAGAGAACAAACCAGATTCCAGCGGAGGAAGAAGTCAGAAAGAAGTACTGGAATTGGGTAGGACACGTTGAGAAAAGCACCCAACCGCGTCATAAGGCAAGCCCTCACAAGGAATCCCCAAGGCCAAAGGAAAAGAGGAAGACCAAAGAACACATTACGCCGAGAAATGGAGACAGATGTGAGGAAAATGAACAACAACCGGACAGAACTAGAGAGGGAGGCCCAGGACGAGGTGGGTCGGAGAATGCTGGTCGGCGGCCTATGCTCCATTGGGAGTAACAAGAGTAAGTAAAGTAAATTTATAAACATAGATTCCGATAGCTTCAGTAATATACAAAAGACGAACTTGTAAAGCATGATGTAAATTTGATGGAGTACAGTGGATAACATTAGAAGCTTTATTCAAGTCAATTTGATGTCCTGTGTCCATCAAGTGACCACTAATAAAATTCTTAACAAGCCTTACTTCATCTCCGCTCAACCAAGACTGATATTGTTCTGCTATACGATGACGTACTTGGCGAGTCGTACCTCTTTCAATAACAGAAAATTTCGAAAACTGGCAAAAACTGATGTGGCAGGTGTTATGACCCAGTGAAGATTAAGTTACAGGTGACTTCCGAGGACTGTTAATAGACTAATATTCTATAAATATTCTTATTGTATAATTATCCAATAATTATCATGTTAAGTCTAATGGTGTCCTTGGACTTTAAATTGACATTTCCTATTGGCCAATATTTATTTCACTTGTCAAATATTGCACAAATGTTGTTTTCTATTTTATGGTACGATGTAGTTTGTTTGATTAGTATATAAACAGAGTATGTCTGAAATAAACGATTCGATTCGATTCATATTACAGAAGCTGGTATTGTGTTCTGGACTCAAGTGGAAGGGCTAGGACGACATAGGACCAATCAGGACGTTAAACTGCTCATACCGGTTGAACGTCATTGGTTTGGCATAGTGCGAAATTGTATAGGTCGTATTCTGACTGGTCGATAAGTCGCGAGATAGAAAAGCCAGACATCAAGGTCTTAACAGCAGGCAGGATTGATAAACGATTAGTAGGCTTCTTGGAATAGATTAAACAACAAAAATATATATTTCGGAAAGTGTGTTTCAAATGTTGAGACCTACATGAGCAATGACATCAAACAATACAGTATGCTAAATGTACATAAAAGTTGGCTTGCCACTTCGATTCGTTTTAGATATGAATAGTTTATCCTATCATACTACAGAAAAAAAATTAATGTACGTTCTCAAAATGTTGCACATACAAACTGCTAGGAATAGTGCCAAGGACTCCTGCGAATTTATTAGTAACACCAAAATATTGTTAGTCAAAAACAACTTCATGATACCATTATATTTACTTTTTCATTCACTATTAAAAAATAAGATCAATGGTAACAACTATCACGAAGTTATGGTCCTTGGAGTTACAGTTCTTTAGTGATGCCACTGAGATGATAATAATAACAGATTAAAAAGGCATTTACTGAAGGAAAATTGAACAAGGTTTTCTACATTCTTGTGATAATGAGAACCACAAGTAAAGACAAACTGCCTGGTTCCGCCACTGTTAATCGAAGCGTGAACAGTATTTTCAATAGATATCGTCATTTCATTCTATCTGTGTGTGGGCTAGGATACTGCCCAGGTGCCCAGACCGAAGCAGGTGGTTTTCTTAGAGGGGCCATACCTGGAGCCTTTGACCTAAAGGTCTGACCCACAAGGCAGTGGAGCATCGTGAGGAGATGCAGTTCCATGATAGCCGGTGACCAACAATTGGTTCATACGCCATTTGTTCCCGCAGGATACTGGAGCTCATGTGAGCTGTTGGTTTGGAATCAGGATTTTCAAACCCCCAGGTGCACTCGCCGTGTCCATCGGCCCGGTTTAAGCGCTGGACATTCGCTATTCGTCCTGTCAATTTCGTAAACAACACCTCCGCCACGAGAAGGCAGTGAGTAGGACTTCCTTGGTAGAGGCTGTATACGCGTGGTCGTGTGAGAGCATTCCGAGAGGGGAGCGGGCCCTCCTTAATCTCGGCCGTACCAGGGAATTCGGGGGCCACACCCATGTGTGTCAAACGATCCGATTGCTCCCACGGAGCCAATTATATGATGTGTACTATTCAATCGACTCTCAGAGTTCAAGGAAAAGAAGTGCGCCTTTATTTTATCAACGAACATCGTTTTTAGATTTGTACGGCTGTGATAGGAAAGTTATTATTAAGGCTTATATATATATATATATATATATATATATATATATATATATATATATATTTCATATGTTGAGTAAAAATATAGAGTACAATTATAATGATAAGTGCAGATAGGTGTCGAGTAACTTCCAAAAGAAATACAGTAACTTACCACTTCCATAAGACACGCTAAAAAGGTAGATTTTTCCACCGACAGAAGTGATATTTACGATCAAACCAGGTCGGGCTAAACTTGGATTTGTTTTTTTCTGGTATTCAATCATCATTCGAGTAGCCAAAACAGAACAAATATAGTGATTCTTTAGACCAGTATCATTAACAACATCCCAAGCTTCACCTGGAGATATGTCTGTAATTTCATAATACGGTTTTTCCATATTTTTCTGTAAAAATGTTACAGCACTATATGCATTGTTAACTACGATATCTAAGCGACCTTTTTGTTCACGATCAATCTGATGAAATAGGTTTTCTATTTCATTTTCATTAGAATGATCAACCATAACAGGAATAGCTTTCTGAAAATAATAACGATTGTTTAACACCATTGAAAAAGAATATCTTGAAATGGTACTACTTCAACAACCACCCTAAGACATAAATGTGCAGTAGAGAAAAAATAATTTGCTTTACAATAAACACTTTACATTGTCATTGCAAAAAAGATTAAAACAATAACTCATCTACCTAAACTAGATATTATCTTAATTTAAAGTTAATAGTTGTGCATGAGCAGGATTTGATTTTTATGGCTAACGAAAACTGATTCACACTATTTGGTTGCATTCCAGTATTAATAGGGGTAACTGGATTAATGACAAAGTCAGTTAGTCATAACCAATATAACATTTAGGACAAATAACCAACTGCTCAAGTTGTTACATCAGTCCAGCATAACGAGGTGAAACTAATGAGTATTAAGATAGTTGAGATATTACAATCAATAATAGTAGGACTAAAACTAAACAAAATGGTTTGAAAAAGGATGAATTCGAGTAAAGGAAAGCGCAAAATAATGTCCAAAATTGAGATCTGAGAAAAAACGAGGAATGAACTTATCTCCATTACTGTGATTCTGAACCCGACCGAAGCTGCTACCTTGACGCGGTGGTCGGGCTTGCCTATCGTGATGACCCAACCGAGCTATATTGGCTGGAACATATGTTCCTGTAGGTTCTACCATGCCAGGCAGGTCGATTGGAAACGGTAAGACTAAAAGCAGCAACTCAAGGTCTGAGGGCGAAGTCGTACTGCTGACTGTAGAGAGGTGTGACAGCAGTAAGGTGTTTCCCTCGGACAACCAGCATGACAGCGATGCTGCCTTCCCACAAGGAGGGGTGGGGTTAGAAAAGGTCGACCCTAAAAATGTCACACCTCACCTTACCTCACGGATTTCCGTCTCCGGCGGTAAGGCCCTTGGAAGAACGGAGCTAACACGTCAAAAACCTTCCACAAAAAGGCCGTGCGCGACCGGCCTCAAGCAGTTGTCCCTTGGGCTCTGCGGTCACGCTCCCAGGTCGTCAAGACCAACACTAATCCAATTTCCTTTTCAGGTTCCTCAAGAAATACCCTTCCACGGTGTGGGCAGCCGGGAAGTGACATCAGCCCTCATACCCGTAACAGCACAAGAGACCAAGGTGGTCACATTCAAATCCTTCCTACACCTCCTAATACCTCTCTTATCTCCATGACTAACCCTCCTCACGTCTCTTTATCACCTCGCACCGCTAGGGCAAACGATTCGAGTACGTGGAACGCCATTCCTGGTCTCCTGAAACCACGCTCTAAACTACACGTAGGAGCTTTTAACGTACGAACACTTTGCCAAATAGGACAGCAGGCTTCCTTAGCTAAAACTTTAGAATCTCGCGCCATCGATGTGTGCTGCGTCTCCGAAACGCGCATACAGGATCCAAGTAGCGTCATTCATTTGACCTCACCATGCCAAAATAAAGAACCGACTCGATTTACGCTTCGTGTATCTGGAAGCCCTGATTCTGCTTCCCGTGGCCTCGCCGGCGTAGGTATAGCATTGAGTCCTAGGGCAGAACTAGCTCTCTTAGAGTGGATCCCAGTAGACAGTCGTTTGTGCGCTGTCCGACTGAACGGAACAGTAAGAATCCGGAAAGATAGGGACACTCGTCGTTGCCTCTTCGTCGTCTCTGCCTATTCTCCCACTGACTGCAGCTCAGATGATGTAAAAGATGAGTTTTACAGAAAGCTTTCGGACCTTCTCCGAAAAGCTAAGCGCTCGGATGTAGTAATAGTGGCCGGTGACTTTAATGCTCAAGTAGGTAAACTAAGCGATAGGGAAAGACACCTAGGTGGATCTTATGGTGTCGTGGCTCAAAGAACAGATAATGGCGACCGTCTGTTGCAGCTATGCTCAGATAACCGCCTGTTCCTTGCAAATACTAACTTTAAGCATAAGGAAAAACATCTTTTAACATGGCGACCCCCTAATTCGTCCCAACGTTGGACCCAAATAGATCACATCGCTATCAGCCACCGATGGAGGGGCTCGATAGAAGACTGTCGCTCATTCTGGAGCACATGCCTAGATTCAGATCATGCTCTAGTGCGAGCGCGTATTTGCTTGCGTCTTACTGGACGTAGGAAAGACGCTGCAAGGAAACCTCTTAGGGCCTACTTAATGATAGTCAAGCTAAGAGTATATTTCAGGAACAACTAGGAAAACAGTTAGGCAGCCATGTATGTGATGCCCACCCCGATGCAGCATGGAATGATATCCGAAAAGCTGTGGAAACAGCAGTGATATCTGCTAGTAAGGTAAACCAGAAGGTTAGGGAGCAACACTGGATCTCAGCAGCATCTATCGCACTGATAGATGCTCGGAAACTCATTCCACCTGGCTCTGAACATAATGAAGAGCGGAGTCAGCTTAAGCGCAAGCTGACAAGAAGTCTACGCAATGATCGCGAACAGTGGTGGGTAGCGAAAGCAAGAGAGATGGAAAAGGCAGCGGCAATAGGTAATAGCAGACAATTGTTCAGACTCGTTAAGGAAACCGGAATTAGGAACCCGACCGTTAGCGAAACAATCTCAGAGAAAGATGGACATATTATTCATTCTCAATCCAGGAGATTGGATCGATGGGCAGAACACTTTAGGGATCAGTTCAACTGGCCTTCAGCCACACTTCGGTTTCCCACGATCTCTAGTCAACCTGAATGGCAAGTTAATGTAGGTCCTCCGTCCCTTTACGAAGTTGAAAAAGCCATAGGAAATCTGAAACGAGGGAGAGCAGCAGGCCCTGACAGGTTTACTCCTGAGATTTTTAAGGATGGTGGTCCAGTATTAGCAATGAGATTAACTGAGGTCTTAGGTAGAATTTGGGAACTGGACGTAATCCCATCTGACTGGTCTCAATCACTGATTGTGCCAGTCTATAAGAAAGGACAAAAGTCCTCTTGTGACAATCACAGAGGAATCAGTTTGACTAATATAGTGTCTAAAATATTAGCTTCAATAATACTTCGACGCCTAATCAAAGCTCGTGAAGAGCAGACTAGAGAAAACCAGGCTGGTTTTCGACCTGGACGTGGTTGTATAGATCAGATATTCACACTACGTCAGGTTCTAGAACACAGACACACATTCAGACGCCCCACAATGGTAGTATTTCTCGACCTTAAGGCGGCATTCGACTCTGTTGATCGTGAGGTTCTATGGCAGTGTTTGTCACTGAAAGGAGTACCAAAGAAGTACATTAACCTTATAAAGGCTCTCTACTCGAACACAACTGGTTGAGTTTAACTTTGTGGTCGACGTACTTTTAGAGATAACACTCTCCTCATCTAAATTTCCAGGGGTTGAACTTCTACCGGAGGTTCACTTGTTGACTTAGAATATGCCGATGACATAATTCTATTTGGTGAAGACGCTGACAAAATGCAGAGTCTTCTGACCACTCTAAGCAACAATGCAAGCATGTTCGGGATGCGATTCTCTCCCTCCAAATGCAAAATGTTGCATCAGGATTGGGTTGCATTGACACCCGAACTAGTGATAGGGAGTGAAGTAGTTGAGTGTATCGACCGCTTCACTTATCTTGGAAGTCTCATCAGCCCTTGTGGTCTGGTGTGTGACGAAATCTCAGCACGGATACAGAAGGCTCGACTAGCTTTTGCCAACTTGCGTCATTTATGGCGTGGGCGAGATATCCGTCTACTAACCAAAGGACGGGTTTACTGCGCAGCAGTTCGTTTCGTCCTGCTTTATGGCAGTGAAACATGGCCGGTAAGAGTAGAGGATATTCATAGGTTACTAGTATTCGATCATAGTTGTCTTCGAAGAATTGCTCGTATATCCTGGGACTACCGAGTTGTTAGGAAACAGATACTAGGTAAGGATGGCAAATCGATTGGTAAAGTAGTGAAACTTCATCAGTTGAGATGGCTGAGACACGTGTTACGTATGCCCAATCACCGACTGCTCCGCTGAGCGATGTTTTATGGTGTAGGAGTAGGTTGGAAGAAAGCTAGGGTCGGCCAGACCGAAACGTGGCACAAATCTATTAAGTCACAGACAAGCGGACTGAGCCATGTTGGTAGGTGTAAACTACCTGGTTGGGGACCACGAGATGATAGCAACCGATGGTTAGAGACCTTGAATGACATGGCTCAAAATCGTTTGCAATGGCGCAGGTGCATCCACTCTCTGTGTTCTCCCAAATTCTAACCTTCTGAATCCTTCATGTCCCTTTTTTCCTCTTTCCAAATTTATTTCACTGGATTATACTCTTTAAATAACATCTCCAAACCCTAATCTTCCCGATTACTGCTTATACTCTTATTACCTCTACCACTACGGGATTTGAATCGACAACTGCATCTCTGTGCTAATGTGGTGTGGCAACTCGAACTGATGTACGTACGTACGAAGTTCTACGTTGTTACTGACTGACTGACTGATTCTGAACGATATCATGCAGGCTATCCAACCGGTGATCACGATTATTACGCAGACTCTAACCCCGTAGACCGCACAAATACGGCTTAGATCAACAGTAAATAACTTAATAGATCTATTTTACATTTTGGTTCGGCCACCTCTAGCTTTATTCCAATTCCAGCCAGCATTGAGTGTCGAGTTATAGCAACAACAAATGATGTCATAAGTTAAAAAAAATACATGCGATATGAAGACATGGATTTAAAGTATAAGCAACAAACAAGTGGGTCTATACATTGCATTTCTACCTAGTAACAAAATTACTTAGGGTAATAATATGGTTTCTACAGCTGGTTTTGTTGAGTCACGTTCTCTAACAAACAGAAACGTCCGATATTCAGACTTTTATAAGGTAACCCTGTTAAAAGCTTGACTTGTAACTAGAATCGTACCTGCATTACTCTACTAAAATGTGCAGACAGTGCCATCATTGTTCGCACGATTGATGCATTCCATAACCTAGGATACAGAATTCTATTTGCTAGATTAGCAACATTCAGAACAATCTAGAACTTCAGAGGTGAGGACATAGCATCTCGCAACGTGGGAAAATCAGTTCACAGACCGGAGAAAAACTGACTTTCCATGCGGATTTGGGTAGTATAGTTATCTCAAATGCTTAAAGTATGTCAACGTAGAACGCAAATCTCGAAAACTATATTTACAGCAATTAGTAAAGCAACTTTGTGCAGAAGATAATCGTATCGCTATTTGTGCAAAGAGAAAAACACAGGTAAAGAGTTAATAATACCTACACCACCAAAGTTATTGATGATATCTGACGTTTCCTGGAGACTACCGCCAACTCCGCCATTAAGCGGCACTGCTGTTCGTCCAGTTAAATACACTGTGGCTCCAGACTTTCCTAATGATACTGCTATGCCTTTACCAATGCCACGAGTAGCTCCCGTAACAAGACATACACAACCAGTTAGATCTTTCATTCTTCAAATTATGCGTTCCTACAACAGAATAAGAAGTGTTCACTGTAAACACAACAAAAAATTAGTCGATAAATGTATACTTGGAGTAAACATTGGCATATATCACTTTCTAACTAAAATACAAATACTTCACGTCAACAATCATAATGATGCATGTTTTGATAGCATGAAAGCCAATTCGTTAACATGAAAGTCATGAAATTAAAACGAACCAAGGATTAGGGATAATTGTTAGATCAAGAACAAAAGATCTCTGCTTTAGGGGGACCAGTGACACCAAAGATGATCAGCCTAACTTCCGAACACAACATTTGTAATACTGTAAATAATACCTCAAACTCTTTAAATTGTAAAAGAGATCAATTCAGCGAACAATTTGGGGTAAATGAGACAAAAATTGATTTTTCTCACCCACAACTGAAGAACTCTCGTGTTTTCTTTGAGATTGTCACTGAAAACCCGATTAAAACTGAATTTTAAAACCCTACAAAAAATTTGCACCTAATAAACTCCTGAAGTACTGACAACTCCTAAAAAGATGCAAAGAAAGCAACCTGATTTCCACTCGTGTTACACTAGTTATTTCAGAAATTTTCAGTTGTCGTTTACAGAGGGTTTTTAATTTAATAACACCTACGAAAATCGTATTATTTTACCGTACATAACAGTAAGTCTGACGATTCGTTCCCTGAAGAACTTCGGGAAGTTTCGGTGCCTACGGTCATGACGAATGTCGAGGTAACGCGTCAGAGTATGACAGAGGTTTGTGACGTCATTTCGCGTTTTTGAGACTATTCTTTCACTGAACAGACCTTGGTGCTGTGGGTTCTCGTGATCTGCATAATCCGGTCGGCAGAAGCAGCCTGTTTGCCTACAGAGTTATTTCGAAATTAAAAGAACTCTGTAGACACGCCCACGTCAACGGTCTGTTGAACAATGACCACTCGCATTCGTAGCAACATTCCTGTTGCTGAACCGTGGTGTGGCCCCATGTCATGAAAAAGTTGATATCACCTTTGTCGGTCGGTCGGGTTTCCACGTTTAAACATACCCTTATTCAAAGTGTCAATACCTCACCAAACACCACTAGTGAAACCACTAAGTGTAGCGGAACCGTTGGAATTGCGCGCTAGATGGCAAAAGATTCTTAATCTTACATAGCTGAACAGTCTGTCCCGCCATGATGAATATAAAGTAAGCTAGTAAACGAGAATGAAATCCGAAACTATAAAAGATGTGTCACAATTTCTAAAAAACAAAAAATTAAAAGTGATGTTCTCGCTTAGGCGGTACATACACTAAATTTGGAACGATAGAGAAAATTAGCATGGCTCCTGAGCAAGGATGACAAGCAAAATCGTGAAGCGTTCCATATTTTTTTGATTTTGTTTAATCGTGCTTTTTGAACGGAACGTTTAGTCCTGACGTGATTTGCATTTATCAAACTTTTGCTGTGTTCTTACGCTACAAAAGTACTATTTATGACCGAAAGAATCTATTCTGAGCTATACGTTCGGTAGATTACTTTTTTTCGAGTCTCACACAATCGAATAGTTAAATTTAGTTTTGCCTCAGCTTACTATTCGGTTTTTTTCAGCTTATCTCGTCCGTTTTTATCCATTTTTGCTCGTTTTAAGTGTGCTTTTTAGTGTATCTTTTTGCGGTCTTAGGCTTTTGTTGGCATGTATAACACAACTTACGTCAATATAGTCATGAAAAACTCATGCAAACGACCTGGATGACGTTTTGCTGTTACATCTGGCATGCAGTGCGACAACTGCAAAGGTTGGTTCCACGAAGCGTGCACAGATCTCTCGGCAACTGCTTACAACGGAGTCAGCAAGTCGAATCATAAGTGGGAATGTGTTGCGTGCAGCACAGATGCTGCAGTCCTGCTGAGTAACATCATTGTCCTATTGACAGGTTTGCGGAATAAGTTGTCAGCAAACTTGGAAAAAGACAGTCATAAACGGGTAGACAGACAAGGACAAGCAACGGAAACAAGAATAAGGATGTCGACAGGTCTACCATCGATGGAGCATGCATTAGCACTAATGATGACATGTTGAAACTCAGCACCATCATTACGCCGACGGTAACAGACTTTCTCAGTAAACTCGGGTCTCCCGGCTCAGGATCCTTGAATGCAACAGTGTTTCCCGAAAACTCTGTAGGCGATTGGACCCATGTTGACAGAGCTAAAAAGAACCAGGCGTCACCGTCTAAGCTGAACATCCGAAGTGTTGTACGGAAATCAACTGATGATTTAGTCACACAGTCTACCCCCAAGAGTGTCCGTCCGGTCATCAAAGCGCCTAGGATTCAGAAACGTGCTTCGACCTTCAAACAACAAGGTGCTGAACCTGAACGCACTGGGAAACCTGGGGAAACAATAGCGGTTCGTGATGACACTCTCATAATCATGAACCTGAAAGACAACCCTGACCTTCCTCTCAGTTTGCAGGACAAAAATGGTAGGATGCTCTGGGGTGAATGAACAAGAAACCTGAACTTCCTAGAATAGAGCCTTTGACGGTCACACGGCTCAATCGGGGAAAGGAATCTAAGTATCAAAATCACTCGAGGCTACTTCGTGTAACCCCTAAGAATGCAACCGACGTAGAGGATGTCCTGCTAGCTAGTCATTTACTGAGATCCGATGGAAACGTCAGAATACTGCCCGACATACCGTACTCTGAGCGCAATCTCATCCGGAACATCCCTAAAGAATCTCGCGAGACGTTATTCCGCGAAAGAAATATAATTGTGCAAAGTGTACCGGAAAACATGGACCCTAGTCAAACAAACTCTGATATTAGAGAATGGAAATTCATCAAACAGTCCTTGGGGCTGAAAAACATATTAGCTCAACATATGAGGAGGCTGGCCAAAAAGGACGGTGATTCTAGACCCCTGCTAATGAGGATAACTATCCCATCCTCCCATATGGTGGCTGCAACTCTGGAAGCATTTCGTGCCAACATACGTTGATTGCCAACTGGAATCCACATGCACCCGGACAGGTCATATGAATCCAGGACCAAGCACAAAGGCAAGTCGGAGTTGATCATTACACTTGTGGACTGTCTCGATGATTAAAAAAACGTGTAAAGGACAGGCCTACCAACTTGGCAAACCTTATGTAGGTAGGCTACCTGTCCATTCACGTAAGACTCATACAGACAAACAGGAAGAAGCTCACGCGTTTCAAATTGAAAGCATAAACTGCCTATACACCAACGTCGCGAGCTACGCGGACTCAGCAATGCTAATAAGGTTAATCTGATAGGAATATCTGAATCTTGGATATCTTCTCAGTTCTCGAAACAGGAGCTAGCAATACCTAGGATGTCTTTGTTTCTCAACGACAGAAGGTACACCAGGTTCACAACCTCCAGTTTAACAATCTTGAGGAATACATATGGTGCTCCGTAAGATTGTCTACTACTTCGAGGTGCCTATTCGGAGTCATACGTAGGAAGCCCACTGCCGACATCGAGCATGACAGTCGCACGCTGGAAGGACAATCCCGCTCTACGCGTCTCGGTTTCACTCATATCCTGATTCTAGAGGACTTCAATCTCCCTAGAGTCAATTTTGCGGGACATACTCATATTGCAGGTGAAAACTCAACTGAAGCTCGGTTCTTCAACTCCATTGAGAACTCGGGAATATACGATAATGTGAAGTCGGCAACTCTTTGGAGAAACAGTCAGACACCGTCGCGCTTAGACTTCATATGTACAAACGAAGAATTTCTGGTTGACAACCTCTCAATCCTGGCTCTCCTGGGGAAAAGCGATCACGCCGTTGTAGCTTTAAGTTTTATCAGCAGAACTGTGCTAAGACATCCCACCAACTACAAGCGCTGCAATTCCGAACAGTTGAATCTGTCAGCTTTATAGGAATACCTACAACAGGTGGATTGGGATGTTCACCCTCAGCTCGATGGGGATACTCATTGGGACTTCTTACTGCATACGCTCATATGTGCTACAAAGCAGTCTGTAACGGAAAGAGAACAGTGAAAATCCCTCTGCAGCTTCTTTGTTGAACAGTATCTTCATTTATTTGTTCCTTCTTCCTTTTGTGTATTCCAACCTTTGTTTCGATCTCGTTTAACCATGTCTTTTGTTCTTCAGTCTTCCCCGTTTGAGCCTTTATTATGTGATTTTGATTAAAGACTTATTTTTGTTACCTAATTTTCTATTGCATGTTGCCGGACCATTGACAGTAAGATTGTGTTTGACTAAGCTCAAGGTCACGGCGTGGTTCAGTTTGTGACTGTTAACCTTCTGACTGTCTGCTTGGGAGAATTGCTGCAATCCCTGCAGATAGATATTTGGTCCCATCTTATTGGGAATATTTGTATTGATTCTCAGAGCGCTACTTTGCGTTAGAGAAACTTCTGACTGTATAGCACAGGCTGTACCGTTTGAGAAACGTTTATATTGAACACAGAATTTGTTTTGATATAATATAATACGAGTATCTCAAAGACGCGTTGTGAGCTATACAGAGGAACTTAGTTTGGTCTAATCGAATAAATTTTGGGTTCGTCAGTCCGTTGTTCCAACCGAATATTGGCTGTTCGGTCGTTACAGTTCTCAAACGAACAGTAATCTCAAGTGACAAATTCTGGAATGCGTGGAAAGCGCAATAAGGTCAACGAAAACTTGGCATTGGGCCACGGAGAAATGCAACCGGATGCACCTCCAGATGTACGGCAAGTCAAATTAGATGCATTTTCATGTCATGGCTCTAATGTTAGCTTAGTAAGTAGACGTAGTAAAGTTAGCTCTAGGATTACCTTAGCAGAGTTGAAAGCTACACTTGTGCCATGCAGCAGACGATTGACAAAGGGTATGCGGTTGTGGTTCCAGGTATGCAACTCGATCCGGTTATCGTCCAAAATGGTACTTGCCCCATCATGCAGTGATTAACCCCAGAAAAAAAAGAGTGAGAGTGGTATTGGATTGTGCTGCTAAGGTAGCTGGTAAATCCTTGAATGACCTTCTTTACCAAGGTCCAGATACTACAGCATGTTTAGTTGGGATCCTGTTACATTTCCGCAGGGTACCGGTTGCCGTTTCCGCTGATGTGGAAGAAATGTTCATGCAAGTAAAGGTCTCGAAGCCCAATTGTGGAGCGCTAAGTTTCCTTTGGTGGCCGAAGGGTGATAACTAGAAGGAATCGCTGGAGTAACAGAAGACATCACATACCTTCGGGGCAATATCCTCAGACATCTGTGCAAATATTGCATTGATGAAGACGGCTCAAAACTTAACTAGTGACAATGATAAAAGCGTAGGAGAATCGGTAATGTTGGGGACGACATATCCCCAAAACTCATATTTTGTAATTTTGTCATATCGATTAAATGTTTAAATATTTGAATGGCAGTCAGTTGATGAACTTATCGATTGAATTTTTAAATAGCATACAATTGATGACTCATTGATTATTGTTTAAAAACTTCCTATGACAAAACCAATATATATATTTGTATAAATACGCTTGACTTGTATGCTTGATCTGATCTGCCTGTCTGACTTGGTATCTGCTGTTGCTTGTAGAATACACTTTCTACGCCTTACCAAGACTTCTTGATCGAGTTAGCTGAGTCGAAGACAACGGACCAGAATAGTCTATTGAGTCTCTGAATCCTGAGCCTTCGTTCCGTTGCGAATAAGTCGAATCAGTAGTATCCTCAAGGTTAACCAAACCTAACAATTTGGCGACGGTGGTTTTGGAAACATGGATCCTTCTAAACTTGAATTATTACTCGAGCAGCAAATGAAACTTATTCAGATGTTAGCAGATGCAAAGCTCACGTCTAATACTCAACCAAGTAGTTCTAATCCTACTACTACTGCACCATCAGTTGATGGTATCGCTAACAGTATCTCCGAGTTTCATTACGATCCAGAATCCAATGTCACGTTTGATATGTGGTTTCGACGTTACGAAGACTTATTCAAATTCGACTTTGCTAATCAAGATGATGCTTGGAAGGTCCGCTTGCTGCTTCGAAAGTTGGGTCCTAGTGAACTAGACAGGTATTGCAACCTAATTCTGCCTCTAAACCCACGCGATCGTTCATTCTCCGACACTGTTCAGTCATTGAGCCAACAATTTGGAGACAAC